TCCCAAGTATATAGCCAGGTGCTGCATGTGCAAGTACTCTTGCAACGTCAAAAACCATGTCAAAACAGTCAATTTCTAGTCAAAGTACAGTTTTGCTTTGAATACGACACGGGTGACTGCGCCATCGGCTGTGCGCTGATGCACTTCCACGACGAAGGTCGCGATCGAGTTGTGAGTTACCAGTCCAGGTAGATGAAGCCGGCCGAGTGGAACTAACGGTCCACGACAAGGAACTTAACACGATGCGATACGCTCTGATCAAATTCAGATTGCATTTACTGGGTGAAAATACCTTCGCGGGGTATACCGATCAAGCATCGCTGAGGTCAGGGATGAAGAGCCCGCATCTGTCCCAACGGATGGCCCGCCGACTCACGTTCTTCTCTGAGTACAACTTCGTTGTCCACTACTAGCCCTGCAAGGACAGTATTCTTGCTGACGCTTTGTCTCGGCGACCAGACTACGAACCACGACGTTCATTGGATCGACAAGTCTTGCTCGATGAAGACGATGTTGATGAATGCGCCATGTGTAAAACATCGGGATTGAACTTGACGAGTGTCTCTCCGGAATTACCGCTTCGCGATGAAATCCGAACTGCGTACGACCATGAACCGACGTACTCCAGTATTCTGAAGCATCTCCGCTCTCCCAGCGAAGACACGCTGAGAGTTCTTTCACGATCGAAACCGACCCGGATCAACCGATATCGTCTTGATGATGATCTACTGACGTATAGCATCGATAACTTCGATGCTCCTCGTATTGTGGTCTCCAGCGACTCCAACCTGCGCTCACGGATCATCCAAGAGTTTCATGACGCCCCACTCAGCGATCACGTGGGCCACGAGAAAACGTTCACAGCCGTGTCGCGCGACTTTTTTTGGCCTCACTTCTACAAATGGGCCCGCAAGTGGGTGCGCACGTGTGAAACTGCCAACACGTGGTGTAACAGGGTTACACGCAAGTGGGTACATGTAGCCACTTGGTTACGAAGATTTCCAAATTGATATATGATACATCAATGGTTACATTTGGCAGGCGACTGGACTGCATGCATTTAGACTTCCTATTGGTAGAAAGCCAATATCTTTCTACCAATTACAGCTGTAGGATCTATCAACCACGCGTTGGCAAATACCTTTCATCGAAAATATCAATTTTAGGAGCAAAACCAAACAAATACATAAACCATAAATAACAGTTCTCATTCTCCAGAATTTGCAGGACTTGAAGCCCTTGATACACGTGAAGGCAGGACAGAATGTCCGCTATTTTCCAAATGCAAAGAGAGTCATTCAGGTTTTAAGCAGAAATTCACTATAGAGCACGCACAAGTACGGATTCTACAAACTTCGTCGGGCATTTGTCCTATCTACAATATGTGTGTAAAAAAAACAGTCATTTCATCCCCCCCCCCCCCCTCAAAGCACGAAGCCATGGCGAACACTGAGACGAGCTGCAGAAAAGAGTGAGCGAGATCAAGAGCAACACGGTCAGCGCTCGATCGCGAGCTGTATACCAGAACTCCTATGGACGCTTTATTGCGTGGGTTTTCCTCAACAAGACCCACCTCGTTTCGGCCGCGTTTGCAGAGAAAATGGGGAGCGTTTCTGATCTCGCCGTACAGCAGCT